CTACTGTCATTATAGACCTGCAAACATATTCCAGGCTCAATGTTTCTTAATTTGGTAGCAGATGTTCTGTTATCAAAGTAAAGCTATAGTGTTCAGTATTAATTTACCTAGTTGTATAGGCAATGGAATTTTGGAAAGAATCTTACAAGTCATATTAGCCACTTCTCAATCAGAACTATAACTCCATGTCATTTATGTTCATATGTGTAGAGCTTGAACAACTGGGCTTTTTCCATTATTGTGTCAAATCTTCTCATACTTTGAAAACACACACACACACACACACACACACACACACACACACACACAAAAAAAAAAAAAAAAAAAAAAAAAAAAAAAAAACCAACCATGGAATCCACAAAAATCCAGGGGGAAAAAGGTTAAAGGGAAGCAGAAAGCTGTGAGAAGGGCTACAGTATACTCAGTATACTCTGCTAAGGCACTGTACCTGTATGTGCTAGGGTTTGTGTTAGCACTCCATTAGTATTTACATCTGGAATTTCACACACCCCCATACAGTCACTGTAATTTGTTTCAAAAGTATACTAAATATTCTAAATTTTTAGCATTTAAATTTTGCCAGTTAGTTGAATTGTTATAAGAGGCCCAGTGCATGAAATTGATGCATGGGTAGGGTCCCTAGTCCTGGCCAGTGAGCAGGGCTGATCAGGGCCTTCTGGCTGCTGGCCAGGACCTCCCTTCCTTCCACGCCACCCCCGGGTGATCAGCGCACAGCTTAGCGAGCAATCGAACCCCCTGTTGAACTCCCGAGGGGACACTTTGCATATCAGCTTTTTATTTATAGATGCTATTGCTAAGGTAGGATTTTGTTTGGTTTTAAATAGAATGGGGGAATTGATAGAATCAATGTCCATTTTAATAGTTATTCCCAATTATGGATTTTAATGTAAGTATTTATGCATTTAAAGAGAGAATAAAACACCACTCACACCATTACTTGCGCCCCCTCCTCCAAGTAGGAAATGAAGTGCAGAGAGAAGAAAACATTAAGATTCTGAAATAATTGTCTGAGCCAGTTAAACACACCTGAGGGAGATATAGTAGCTCCTGTAATAACCAGCTCCATGAGCAGTTAGAGATGGGAGAAGAGAGAACATTTTTATACTTAGGAAAGAACCCTGCCGCCCCAAGAATTTCATAATTTTGTCCTTTCTCCCTAGTCTACACAATCATACTCAACAGAAATAGGACTATGCACAAGTAGTTTCAAATACGATTTCTACAAATTTAGATCTGTCTAGATGGTCTTTAATTCTTTTCTGCACAACCATGTCATTAGCTTTTCAATAGTGCCTTTTGTTAATTTTACCTTTCACTTTCCTGGTGATAAACTTTTAGAATGACATAAGTAGTTTATGTAATGAAACTTAATTTGGGACCTAGAGATGCTTTTTAAAAAATATATTTTATTAATTTTTACAAGGAGAGAAATATAGTTAGAAACATCGATGAGAGAAAAACATCTATTCAGCTGCCTCTTGCACACTGTCTACTGGGGATGTGCCCTCAACCAAGGTACATGCCTTTGACCGGAATCTAACCTGGGACCCTTGAGTCTGCAGGCTGACACTCTATCCACTGAGCCAAACCTGTTAGGGCAAGATGCTAACTTTTGAGGGATTGCTAGTGTCCATTACTAAATGATTTGAATGTTAAACTTTTGAAACCTCATTCTGAACTACGTAGTTTTTGTAGACCAAGTAATGTTATATGTTGAATAGACTATTCAAAGTGATAAGCATTTCTTTGCTTCCACCATTTTTGTAATATACCACACATAATTTATTTTGTTTTAGCAACTGTCATCAATTATAGGCAAGCTGAGAACATTACAACAAAATAACTTGCCGTCTTACCTTGGCTTTACAGAAAGACAACTCCTTCGAATTGAGTTTTGTTGTTTGATTGGGTTTTAGGGGCGGCGGGGGAAATGACATGGAACATACTAGTATATTCAAGATTTGCGAAAGAAGTTGAAACTAGTACATTCAATTTTTTCAGGAATGTATCTGTTTGACATGTGAAAATGCATTTTACAATTAAGCATTTATAGCTTAATGCCTATATATCCCACCTTTCTTTTTAAAATTGCCATTATGGGAAATGCTCAAAAATACCCCAAATCCACCTAACAGTTTTAACCTAGCATTTACAGAGATTCTACTTTGCTGTAATTTATTTTTGGCTTTAAATATAAGCTAAGGGGATATTAAATTGCCAGAAGAGACTTTGTTTACAAATAGAAAGTATTTCTATGCTAAACATCTGGCAAAGGACAAGCTTTCTAGTTAAGTTGCTGTGAAATTTGCCTTCCATATAAATTTCAAGTTAAAAATTTTGGAAAGTGGTGTGTTTTGCAGGCTATTCAAACAATGAGGCAATGTCGAGATCTGTGGTATACTTGTATGACTTGGTTTTTTAAATATAATTTAGAATATTAGAGCTTATTTTAAAATCCTGTTAAAATAGCTATAGTGTACTAGGTGTAGCAGTTAATAACACAGATTTTTTTCAATAGATGGAGTTACACATATGTTGATAAATATGCAATTTAATATGCACACTGTTTTGTTGTATTGATAACAAGCTTCAAAATTTCATATGTCAAATTTGCTGAAGGTGTTAACATCATAGATATTTTTACACTTAAAAATGTCGAATTTCATGCCACAAAAAGAGCATTTACAGGAAGTTATAATTCATTATTTTAAAGAAAAGTGCTGCTGAATACTTCGGAAAGCTTATGGTGAACATGCTCCATCTCAAAATACTTGTGAACACTGGTTTAAACATTTAAAAGTGATGATTTCGATGCGAAAGACAAAGAATGTCCAGGTCAACTGAAAAAGTTTGAATACCAACTATTATAAGCATTATTGAATGAAGATGTGTGTCAAGCTCAAAAACAACTTGCAAAAACTTTAAACGTTGCTCAGCAAATAATTTACAATAGTTTATAAGCAATGAGAAAGATTTTAAAGGAAGGAAAATGAGTGCCACATCAACTGAACGAAAAACAAATGAAAATCGAAAAGTCCTCAATAAAATGTTGATTCAGTGGTGCGAAAGGAAGTCATTTTTGCATTGAATTTGACTGGTGATGAAAAGTAGATTTATTTTGAGAATCCCAAATGCACAGAATCATGGACTGATCCAGGTCAACCATCAACATCAACTACAAGGCCAAATCGCTTCGGAAAGAAGACAATGCTCTGCGTTTGGTGGGATAAAGAAGTCATGTACATACACAAACACTCACTCACCATGCACGAATTACATGCACCAGGTCTCTACTATATCTTAGAAAAATCTTCCTCAAATTCTAGAACTGTGTATCCTCATTTATGTTTATTTTGAAAGCTTCTATTTAATCTACATTAAATATCTATAACAAGTTGTGGTTGAGTTTCACTTCAGAATAATTAAAGTAACTTTCAGGGTCAACTGAAATACAAACATCTAGATTTAGTTTTTTAATAATACTTAGAACATTCCTTTTGGTGTAAGCCTTAGAAATAGGCTATTTCTAATTATCTGCTTTGGAATGAAATATTTATATCAAAGTAAATTTCAGAATTATTTTTAGAGATAAAGGATATTTTTTGATATTAGGAAATAAATCATTAAAAGAAGAGAAGTTAATAGATGAAATATTTAAGCACAGTATTCAGAAATAACCTCTATTCCATGTGGTATAGGTTTATATTAATAGTAGGTATACTTCAACCAAGGTAATCTGTATTTGTTTATTTGCTTAACATATATTCAAAAATATTTTAAAATTGGGCATTTTTAGAATTCTCCACTGAAATTTGGTATATTCTTATGTATTCTTTAATATTCAAGTTTATATTGATGAATCAGGTGTGTGTAGGTAATGGGTTATGTTGACTTGTTTTCGTGTTATTTTTCATGTTCTAAAAATTTATATATTTTGAGACATGAAAATATCAAAATTTTTATATTAAATGAATGTTGACATAAATTTCTTTAGAATTTGCCTAAATTTGCTCTAATGATAACTAAGGATCAGCTACTCATAAAATGTTTGTTTTAGAGTCTATTTAAGATTGCAGTGGGATTTATCCAAAGAGAGTGGTCAATATGTGTGTGTTCCAAATATTGTAAGCTCTAGATATAATCAGTGGTTCTGTCTTTTTCCTTTCTTCCACTTTTAATTATTGTAAAACTAGAGGACCAGTGCATGAAAATCCATGCACTTGGCAGGCGTCCCTCAGCCCAGCCTGTGCCCTCTTGCAGTCCGGGACCCGTCAGGGTATGTCTACCTGCCGGCTTATGCCCACTCCCTGGGGGATCGGGCCTAAGCTTACAGTCAGACATCCCTCTGGCTGCCAAGGAGCCCTCGGGGGTGTCCAACCGATGGCTTAGGGGAGCTGGCTTAAGCTGAGTCGGACATCCTTAGCGATGCCAAGACGGGAGAGGCTCCTTCACCGCTGCTGCACTAGCAGCTGTTAGCCCAGCTTGTGTCTGCCTCCTGGTGGTCAGTTTTCATCATAGGGTCAATATGCAAATTGACCCTTCCGTTGTTAGGGTCCATTTGCATATTACCCTTTTATTATATAGGTTATCTTCATTTGTTTTATGCTAGTAAATTATTACCTCTCAAATTAAAATTTGGATGTACCAGAAATGAAGCTTTCAGTTCATTTTGTTATAAGTCATTTTCAGACTACCTTGCAGCCATTTTCAGTTTAGACATTATAAAAAATAGGTTTCTTATTGTACAGAATAAAACTCGGCATCTCATTAGGTATAGATTTTTATGTGGAAGATGGTTTCTTGAAATAGGCTTTTCCATCTTTCAGGCATTGAAAGGAGCACTTTGGTCTTTTAACTCAGTGGTACTTTATAATAACTATTCTTCCTGTCACTGTAAAAAATTGACACATGGGTAAAAATATCTTTTTTTATACAGCAAATAAATTGAGCTTGTTATAGTCCCCTCTCTTCATTTTCAGGAAGAGGCAGAAATTCAGGCAGAACTTGAACGTTTGGAAAGAGTGAGAAATCTGCACATTCGAGAGCTCAAAAGGATAAATAATGAAGATAATTCACAGTAAGTCATTATTATATTTCAGTTTTACATGATAAAAGTGTTTCTTCTCTGTGCAGAGCATAAACACAATATTTCCTTGTTGGGGGCTTCTTGTCATACTTAAAAAAAAGATCCACAGTCCTTCCCATGGCTCAACAAGTCTTATTTATGTAAACTGGTCTGTGGGCACCGCACCAGCATATCTCTGTCATCCTCCCCTCACAAGTTGCAGCCATGCCAGCCCCCATCCCTATCTCAGGGCTTTTGTGCTGGCCACCTTCTCACCTGAAATGTTCATCTTCTAAATATCTGAGTGGCTTCCTTTTGATTTCACCCCAAATGGTCATGAGAGGCCATTCCTAGGCAACCCTGTCCAAAATAGCAGTCCTTACACCATTCCCTTCCCTCTCCTGGTATTTTTATCTTGCTTTGTTTTTTATAACATTTTTCACTATCTGGAATTATAAAACCTATATTTCAGTTATCTGTCTTCTCTCCCTAAAATATAACCTATATGAGAGGAGGAACTTAATTTTATTTTTGTTATATCCCTGGTACATAGTAGGCATGCAATAAATATTTGTTGACTGAATATCAAAATGAATATTAATAGGGAAGAAGAAATTATTTTTAACTAAAGGAGTTTCAGTAAGCCACATATCTGGCATTATTTTTTTTTAATATATATTTTATTGATTTTTTTACAGAGAAGAAGGGAGAGAGATAGAGAGTTAGAAACATCGATGAGAGAGAAACATCAACCAGCTGCCTCCTGCATACCCCCTACTGGGGATGTGCCTGCAACCAAGGTACATGCCCTTAACCAGAATCGAACCTGGGACCCTTCAGTCCGCAGGCTGGCGCTCTATCCCCTAAGCCAAACCGGTTTCGGCTATCCAGCATTATTATACAGAACTTGAGAAGAAAATAGAAAAGTATAAGTCTGTGTCCTTAACCCCTGGTTATAAAAGTGGAAAGAAAATACCCATGAACTGGTGGGAACTTTATGAAGATAGAAATTAAGCAAGAAGATGGAAATTATGCCAAGCATTCCTTGGATTTAATCATATTGAAGAGAGAAGCATGTCTTTTATACCTAAACTTGTCGTGTAATTTAAGACCTCATGGCCCAACAAGAGGATCAGCATTGGAAGTGACCATTTCTGCTGTGAAATATAAATATCTTGCTTAAAATTAAGAAGGCCTATCTGTGATCATTTGTGTATGTGTAACACAAATACACAGATCATTCCAGTGTGTAAGGTGAATGAAATATTATAGTTATGGAATAACTTATATTGTACCAGATGAAAATTCTAATAGAACAAGACTAATTAAAAATTATCTGACCTGAAAACTATGTTCAAACTTGTTTGTGGATATGTAATAGCAGTATTGTCTGTGAGTGATTTTTTTCCAAAGTTTTTAAACAAGTTTTTCTTTTTTAATTGGGAAATAAAATTTTATTTATGGAAGTCTTAAAGACAGTAAAATTTATGGGTAAAAGCCAATTTAAAAGTATCATTTTTTGCCGAGACCGGTTTGGCTCAATGGATAGAGCATCGGCTTGGGGACTGAAGGGACCCGGGTTCGATTCCAGTCAAGGGCATGTACCTTGGTTGCGGGCATATCCCCAGTAGGGAATGTGCAAGAGGCAGCTGATCGATGACTCTCTCTCATCGATGTTTCTAGCTTTCTATCTCTCTCCCTTCCTCTCTGTACAAAATCAATAAAATATATTTTAAAACAAACAAACAAAAAACATTAATTAAAAGTATAATTATTTTTTAATCTTATGTCAATACTATAAAGTCTTGATTAACCATAACAAAAAATATAAAAGTTTTTTCTGAGGGAAGTAATTCCTGCTGAGTAGATAGGGGATTTCATAATATTTCTTGATAACACAGTAGTTGGTAGCTCTTTATCACAGCACTATAATTGGTCATTGAACCTGAATATTCAGCTATAAATGTACAACTTTGTAAATAAACACCAGGTGTTAAGGTGGGTGATAGTCCTGCAGATAGAAAAGTATGAAACAGAATTTATAATTAGCAGTAGAGTGAGAAAGAAATAGGGGTAGAATAAGAGCATGGAATTTTATTGTGGACAGAACCTTTTTGTATGCGTTTTCATGTTACTGTTTTTTCCTCTACCCTTAAGGTTCAAAGATCATCCAACGTTAAATGAAAGATATTTATTACTTCATCTGCTTGGTAGAGGTGGCTTTAGTGAAGTGTATAAGGTAATATAATTTCTTTTTTTTTTTCTGTTCTTCACACTAATATAGGAGTACAGGTTTCCCCTACTATGCACAAGTAGTGTGTTTCTATGAAACCTTTCAGAAGTCAAAATAGCATAAAGCAAAGAAACAGTTACCATTAATTTATATGGAAATTTTTCAAGTATTCCCAGACCCCCTAAATAACCCACCAAATCATACCAAATACACTTAATTACATCCAGTTTTATGATAAGTGCAACACCCTTACGAACTTTCTTAAGCTTTTCTGAAAGCTTATGATACATTTGCTAATTAATGCATGAAATAAATCCAAGTAAAGCTCACAAACACAGGTCAAAGCCGGATTGATACTGAGATGCTGAGTGTGGTTCCAGGGGGAGGACCTTGGGCTGCCACTCTGGCTGCAAGGGTGTGCACTGCCTCTAACCCTGAGAAATGAGCCCTGGAAGCTATTTTTACTTCTTGCTTTTTCTTATAAAAGCAAAAGCCCCCTTTGTATTTATTGCAGTTAGCCAAAAAAAGGTACAAATAAATGTAGGCCTTTTGTAAAAAGAAAAGTGGCCTAATGTGAACTCTCAAAAAGTGGGGGATACCTGTATGTGGTTAAGAAGTACTTGTCTTTTGTTTGTTAATTTTATAATTTGCGGGGAGGGCAGATTTTATGTCCTGACTCATTACAAGTTTGGTGGCTTAGGTTGTATCTTAATGAACAAGTACAAAAAAAAAGTACATAAATGTTAAAGGCATGCCTTACAATTAAACACCCATTGCATTTTGAAGTTATTTATTACATGTTCTTACAAGCTAATATCTTTTTAAAGTATGATACTTTGTAAAACACTGTGTGATATGAAATCATGAGAATTCTCATGATCCGTCCACATGTGTTAAGAGTCTAAAGACTGTGCACCTGCACAGCCCATCAAGTATTTGCTACCTAGTACTGTTAGCCAGTTTGATACAAATAATAGCAATCAGAATCAAGATAGGCAGGTAGTCATATGATATAGTACCTTTATGGTCATATTATACCCTTATATTTAAACATGTGTCTCAGAAATCTTACATATCCTGAATTTATAGAAATTCCTACCTATTTTAATGACCATGTTTTTCAAATGTTTATGTATAAATGTAAAAATTTTTACTCATATTTAGTGATTTTTTGTTGTTTTTCAATGTTTTATACCTTACTTTTTCCTACTTTATGTTGTATCTTCCTGTTCAACCTTTAAATATTGTAGCTCCTAAGTCTCTTATTCTGTATTCTCCTTTTCAAATGTATTCCTGCCATTCACTGACTTATCTATTTGATTTCACCCTCAGATCTGTGTCTGTCTATGTGTGTACATACCCCACACTTTCTTTCTGAGCTATCTGTTAATGTGACTTTGTCTCTTCACTTGGCATGGATTCCGCAGGCACTGCAAACTCACTTGTTAATTAGAAGTTATTTTTCTTTTCTCCAAAACCCCTTCTTCCAACTCTGCTTCCTACTTTAGTCCATAGCATTGCTATTCAACTGCCTAGTCCCTCAAGTTAAAAACATAGAAGCCATCCTTCACTCTACCTTTCCCTTCCCTTTCTCAGCATGTAACCAGTTGCTGGGTGCCCACTGTTATTAATGTCATCAAACTCCCCTAAATCCAGCAATGGCCCTTTCCTTTCTATTAGCTCAAGGCCACGTTGTCTCTTGTTTGCGTTGCTACCCGAGGGCATTAAGTTTCTCCAGCGTACTTATGTAAACTGCAGCTAGAGTAGCCTTTTTATAAAATGCAGTACAATTTTCTCACTCTCTTATAAGCCCCAGTGGCTTCCCGTTTGCTCTTAGTTAAGATGCAGGTCATGCTCTCACCTGAGACTTCCCTTAGAAGCTCTCCTTGTTTGTCTGCCTTTTATAAGCTCCTTGTGATACTTGCTGTGCTTCATTATATGTCAGTATAGTTAGTGGTTAAGAGGTTGGATTCTGAAGCCAGCCAGACTGGGTTTGAATCCTAATTCTGACTGCTGTTAAATAACGGTATAATCTTGGGCTTATTACTTAATCGTCCTCTGTCTCACTGTCTTCATCTGGGAATGATAATAGTACCTACATTGTAGGATTGTGATTAATTGAGCTATCACAGGTAAATCACATAGAACATTGGTGCTTAATAAATGCAAGATCATTATTAAAAATCCTCTGTTTAATGAGACAAAGACTGTGCCTTTGTGGCTTAGTAAAAACATTCTGGATTGTTCTGACTGTGGGAAAATTTGGAATTTGAATTCAGAGAACTTCAATTCTGGTCTTGGTTGAACCAGTAACTATTTTTTGTTTTGTTAAGTTGAACAAGTAATAAGAATCATGGGCCTCACCTATCAGGAGTGATCTGTGAGCTCTCTTATAATTCCTATGTCTTTGATTCCAACAATAGTTCATCCTCGTGCACTATAATGATTGGAGTAGGCTTACACAGGCCTCATGGCGGAAAGATCATACATAATAGCTCACCTTGGATCCAAAAGTGTACAGTTACATAACACTACTACCCTGGTTCCCCGAAAATAAGACAGTCTTATATTAATTTTTGCTCCCAAAGATGCACTATGTCTTATTTTTAGGGGATGTCTTATTTTTCTATGAAGAATAGTACGGTACACATTTATTGTTAAATGAAAATAAAGGAAACTTATTACCTGTATACGGTACGGTAGTTGTCAACACAAACCAGACAAACTGTGAATCCTACAGTATCAAGAATTTACTCATTTATTCAGTGACAATCATGTCATCATCTTCTGGAACATCACCATAACAATCCAATTCCTGAATTTCTTGTGACTCCATTTCTTTCAGAATCAGTGGACCAAATCTCTCATAATAAGCCTAGGGGGGGCTTATTTTCAGGGGGATGCCTTATATTTCACTCAGAAGGAAACCTGTAAGTGGGTCTTATTTTTGGAGGATGTCTTATTTTCGGGGAAACATGGTAACTCAGCCTACTAATCACAGCACCCTTCTGCCACTGCCACTGTTTTTAGGGCCAAAGAGGATTTTCTTTTAGAAATTAGAAAATGCAGATGGTAGCTCAATGACTTGAACCTTCAATACTGTCCTAAATACTAACCACTTACTCTAGCCTCTACAAAGCCCTTTTATTGTTGCCAGGTCCATTGAGAAACAAAGCAACAGATTGTAAATCAAATTGTATAGACTTTTATCTGTACCACGGTGGGAAAGATTGAATCAGTTGCTTAGTGATAACTGTATTAACTTTATGAGAAGGTACTTTGCTCATCTAATCTTGGAAGAAAGATGAGTCATATATAACTATTATAATCAACATACACTGGCATTAACTTTTATCAGTAGTATACTTAATTTTACTTTCATCTATTTTCATTTATTATGATTGCCTCTGAATTTTATCCTTTATGCTGCTATGCTTTTTCTCACATGAATCTTGGAAAATTCTTTTTTATATCTTTAAATCCAACTTTTTAAAATTTTTATTTAGAAGTTTATTAAAACTAGAAACAGGAAATGAGGAAAGGCCTATGATAAAAGAAGCAACAGACAAGAGACTATGTGGGGAAATGAGCCTAGACTGGGCTGCTTTGGCTCACTAAGAAGTCAGAGAAGAGGGGACCTTTGGGGACAAGTTCAGGGGATTGGCCACTGCCCATTGGTTGCAAGTCCCGTGGGGTCCCTTAGCGCTTAAGAATTGCATTCCTAAGGAGGAAGAGGAGGAGGAAGGGAAAGACACAGGCATGCTCCCCAGAGGGAGGTCACACCTAAACCCAACTTTCAATTAATATAATTAGCTAATATTTATTGGATATTTACTGTGAATCATACTTTTCTAAATACTTTGTTTCACCCCATTTAATCCTTTCAACTACCCAAACTTAATAAATGAGGCTGAGAGAGGGTTTTAGTACAAAGTTCTGCAGCTAATAAGGTTATCTTGACTCCAAAATGAATATTCTTGATTATTCCATCCTTTATTGCTTCCATAATTTTGTGATAAGCATTTTACCGCTACTGCTTATTTTTAGGTTAAATTGATGGGGAGAGTATGGACTAAGGACCTTCTTTTTAATGAATATGTAAGCTAAGTGTTTTCTTAAAGGGGCACCTTTGTATATAAATCACAGCAGAGCCTAAATTATTAAATCTCTTTTATTGTTTAAAAAAAAATTTAAGTCACTTGAAGTCTTAAATAATACTGATCATTTTTTATTTTGTTACTTAAGAAATAAACTAGTGATTTAAACAAAACAGTATCAAAAATGTTTTATGGTGTTTTTTTAGACAACCAGGGAAAATTGAAGACTAGTTGGGTATTAGATGAAGTTAGGTGTGGTAAAGATTTAATTAAAGTTTAAGAACTTGTTAATTTTCAGAGAAATGAGGAAAAAGGTAGGGAATTGCTAGGAGAAGCTAGAGAAAAAAGGTTTGCTTTATCCAACCCACAAAAAAAGCATTAGAGCCATCTGTTTTCCTGGCTGTTCTACTGCCAGGATAGAGGAGCAAGGGTTCATATTTTTTAAAAAAAGAGCTTTATTTTATTTTGATTCATTTATAAAACTTACATTAAAGTTTTCTCTGATTTAGCACCATGTTTCTGATCGTGTGTCATTAAACTATATATAATCTTAGCAAAGATCAACACAAGAATTGTAGTGTTAAAAAAAAAAAGAATTGTAATGTATATTCTAATTCCATATTATGAGAAAATCATCACCAAAATTTTTTTAATGTCTTCGGCTATTCATTTGGTCTTGGGTCCTAACTCTTGTTACTTGAATCCTAGGCTTTTGACCTTTATGAACAAAGATATGCTGCTGTGAAGATCCATCAGCTTAATAAAAGCTGGAGGGATGAGAAAAAGGAAAATTACTATAAGTAAATATAATACTTCATTCTTTTTATCAATTGAAAACATATTTAATAGTAATGGAGAATTAATATACTCTCTCTTCTTGTAGACATGCCTGCAGAGAGTATAGAATACACAAAGAACTGGATCATCCCAGAATAGTTAAACTCTATGATTATTTCTCCTTGGATACAGATACGTAAGTAAATATAACTAAAGATTTCTGCTTTCCCTATTCTATGGTGGTGATATAAATGACTTCATTTCTTCACTGTGATTCTGAATTATTGGATAATATTTTATATTTAATTATTTTATCTTCTCCATTTTAGGTTTTGTACAGTATTAGAATACTGTGAAGGCAATGACTTGGATTTCTATCTGAAGCAACATAAATTAATGTCGGAGAAAGAAGCTAGGTCTATTGTAATGCAAATTGTAAATGCGCTAAGATATCTCAATGAAATCAAACCCCCTATTATACATTATGATCTTAAGCCAGGTAACTAATAAAATTGTCTAAATAAATTTTAAGTTCTAAGGAGTATAATGTCAATTTATTAATTTACCTAAAAACATACTTTTTGGTTTAGTTTGTAAATGTCAATAGAGTAGTTTTAGAATTTAAAGTGTTTTTGTCGTGTCACTTCTTAAAATTATATTTACTTCCCAAAAGTTAGCGTAAGTCATAAAGATGTTATTCATCTATGTATCATTAAAAGAACCTTCTATTTTTATTTTGCTCCTAGGAAACATCCTCCTGGTGGATGGAACAGCTTGTGGAGAAATCAAAATCACTGATTTTGGTCTGTCCAAGATCATGGATGACGACAGCTATGGTGTAGATGGAATGGACCTAACTTCCCAAGGGGCAGGCACTTACTGGTAAATATATCACTAAAAACGTCAAAATTGTCTAGATTAGTCACAAGGCTTTTTATGAGAGTTTAGTTTTTCTTTTCCCTTTGAGATCACTGTGCTGAGGGTACTGATGTGAAGCCCTGAGTTGAGAGGGAGGCCACGTTCGTCAGTCTTCATCTCAGCAAACTAGGGAGAGGAAGACTTAGCATTAGCAGGTGACTTAGTAACTTATCCAGAAACTCCGAATGGGGAGAATGGGGACGGAGGGTGTTTTCTATAATGTTAAAGGGAATTTATCATGAAAAAAAAAAACAATACATAAATATACCATCTTAACTATTACAGGAAATAAGCAAAAAGCCATCTCTGTAGAGCAGTGGTTCTCAACCTTTCTAATGTCGTGAACCTTTAATACAGTTCCTCATGTTGTGGTGACCCCCCCCCCCCCCAACCATAAAATTATTTTTGTTGCTACTTCGTAACTGTAATTTTGCTACTGTTATGAATCATAATGTAAACATCTGTGTTTTCCGATGGCCTTAGGCTCTACAGTCGCAACCCAAAGGTTGAGAACCGCTAGCAGGGTCGTCTAAGACCATGGGAAAACACTGATATTTACATCACGAAAAGGCTTATGGAGGTTGGGTGGATCTCGAGGAAAAGGTGCTCTCCGTGTAAATTGGAGGGTTAGGGGAGGTATTCAATATTGTCATTTTCAAAAGCGTGAGTTACAGAAAAGTAGTGTGGGCGGCCAAGTTAATTGGCTTTCCCTAGCCGGTTTGAGGGTAAAGAAGAGTGAGTGCAGATGTTGGAAGTTTAAGTTGCTGCTGGATTAGGATGGGTCTTATGTTACAAACAAGAGATATGAGGTACATTCCTTGGCAGTTAGTAATGCTGAGGCTCTTTAAACAGAAGAGCCACCTGGTCAGGTGTGTGTTTTAGGAAGAAAACTGCCTACAGTTGAGTGCTAGTGAAGGGGGGCAGTGGGAGAGGATTTATTCTATTATTAGAGACTTACCCAAAATAGAACATTGATTGGGTAAATGACAGAGGTAGAAAAAGTAGTTCCTAGAAGAAATGGGCTTAGCAAACAAGTTCTAGAGGTAAAAGGTCCCTTGGAGCTTGAGAATGAAAGCTAATGGTAACATGCCTGGGGACAGGGAGGAGGAGGGTAAAGTGCCTAGAACATTGTAATTTCTAATGATAATATATGCTATTGTGCACTTTAGACGTGTGTGTGTGTGTGTGTGTGTGTGTGTGTGTGTGTGTATCATACTTTATATCAAAGTTGTATGTTTTGGCGCTAGAGTCAAGTGATACAAGGACTTAAAAGCTTGATTGGAAATTTTCACTCATGAAGATCCTAAGGTGTTATGTGGATAAAATTAGTTCTGAGATTTTTACACTTAGATTTTAAATTACAAATTGTTAATAGTAGCCTTACCCTTTTCTCCCCAAAAAACTATAGGTATTTACCTCCTGAGTGTTTTGTAGTTGGAAAAGAACCACCAAAAATTTCCAACAAGGTTGATGTGTGGTCGGTTGGAGTCATTTTCTTTCAGTGTCTTTATGGTAGAAAGGTAAGTTAAAGAATACCAGATTCAACTGTACTAGTAGATAAGTGGAATTTTCCCCTTTTAAATACAAAGTTCATTAACTTAAAGTCAAAAGTCAATTTAAATCCTTCCAAGGAAAGCCAGGCTTCTTCTCTATGTCTTTTAATCCTTAACTGAGGATATTTTTTCATTGAGAATGGAAGGGCGGGAAGAGGAAAAGAGAAAAACATCGATGGGTTGCCTCCCACACGTGTCCTGATGTGCGCTGGGGATTTAGCTTGCATTGAAGCACGTGTCCCTGACCTAATTCCCTTAGGTCCACAGGCTGACACTATAACCATTGAGTAAAACCAGCTAGGGCTCTTCTCTATTTCTGCTAAGATTTCTATGGATCAGAATTATTTTAATTCATAGCAATTTACTTGGCCTGCATTTTTAACACACACACCCTTTTTTTTCCTTTTTTCTTTTTTTTTTTAACTGAAGGAAAAGAAGTAATTGTATGTTAAGAATGCTAATATTCTCTACTGTTAAAGAATACTGGAGCCAAAACTTTTCATTATCCTCCATTCTCTCTCCCTCACTGCATGCACACAGTTTGGCCTTTTCATAGTTTCCTCAGGGAAATTCCGCCAAACTTAAGTCTTAATCTTTCCTGAACCACTTTATTTTGAAATCAAAACTATAGATATTATATATTCCCTTTTTCATCCCTTCATCAGTATGGAAAGAGAGTTTAATGAACTTGTCTGGAAATTGACTGCAAATTAGGAGTACCAAACCCAGAGCGCTTTGGTTTACGTTCATGTACTATGCTCAAAGTGTGTTTTCCAGTGGTCTTTTCACAGGCATTGCCACTACTTCATCTCTTCTCCAACCAAATTTCATTTTGTAAATATTAAGAATAAAGTTTTAAATTTCTTATGTTTTTATCTTAATTTCCTATTTGTAGTAGCATTATTTTCTTCTGCTTATTCAGTGTCTCAGCTGTATTGTGGATTAATTATATCTTTGTTGCTATGAAAATGTATCCCAACTTCCATGAAACTGAGGGCAAGACTTTTTTAGAACACAAATCATTTGTATCTTGAGTATTCACTGTTAATATCTGTTTAAATTTTGTGAGATAAATTTCTCAACATTTTATTTTTAGCCATTTGGTCACAATCAATCTCAACAAGACATTCTTCAAGAAAATACAATATTAAAAGCCACAGACGTTCAGTTCCCTGTAAAACCGGTTGTAAGCACTGAAGCCAAGGTAATAAATTTATGTAAATAAGATTTGTGAAGTAAATTTCACATCATAAATTATTCTTAAAACAAAGTAATTACTACCACAGGAAAATCTATCCAGGAGGTATATAGTTTTTTTGTTTTTTGTTTTTTTAATCAATCTTTATTGTTCATATTATTACAAAGGTTCCTCATTTCTTCCCCCTTCCACCAGGTTCCCACTCTCCCCCTCTGTTGCTCCCCCCATTGTCCTCATCCATAGGTGCACAGTTTATGTTCAGTCTCTTCCTCCCTCCCTTTCCCTGAGAACAGTCAGTCCACTCCCCTCCCATAAATGGACACATTGTTTAAACATAGCTGCTGGTTGGAATTGTATTACCTGTTCTGGGTGGGAATGCCTTGTTATTCCCTTTCTCCATTAAAATTAAGGTGTTAGCTTTAAAACCTCTTTTTGGCAAGAGACCTTAAATTTTTAGAACTTTAAATTTTTCAGATAGTAAATCAGTTACTTAGCATTTTCTCAAATCAATAATACTTCCACATGCCCAAGGATACACTTCACACAAAAGACATTTCCAAATAGGTCAACTAGCCTCATCCAGGCCCCACCCAAGGCACTCACAGATCAACACCCCAGCCCTATACTAACTCAACACATCCAGATCTAAGCCTTCCTCATTTGATTCAGCAGACCCTCAAGTTCCCCCAAAAGTTTCCAGCCATGTCTGAGAGGCAGCCTTGGGGCATAGGCAGGCGAGGAGCAAGCTGTTCCTGGACTGGCTGCTCCGGGCCTGGCCTCTGTTGCTCTGGTCCGTTCCACAACCAGCTGCTCCGGGTCTGGCCACACCCAACCCTGGGCCTGGTCGCTCCCAGCCTGGCTGCTGCTGCTCCGGGCCTGGCCACTCCCAGCCTGGCTGCTGCTGCTCCAGGCCTGGTCGCACCCGACCCGGCTGCTCTGAGGAGGTATATAGTTGATCCTTGAACAATAAGGGTTTGAACTGCACAGGTCCACTTAAATACGTTTTGATAAATATATTGGAAATTTGCAGATGAATCACATAGCCTAGGAATATTTTTTTAAATTTTTGAAAAATTTAGGTATATCATGAATACATAAAATATATGTACATTTTCAACTTTTATCATAAGAGTATAGTCTAGACATACTAAATATGTCTTAATTGACTAAGTCACTGATAAGGCTTTCACTCAAAAATAATAATGTGGATTTTCAACTGCACAAGCCAAAACCGGTTTGGCTCAATGGATAGAGCGTCGACCTGCAGATGGAAAGGTCCCAGGTTCGATTCTAGGCAAGGGTATGTACCTTGGTTGCAGGCACATCCCCTGTAGGGGGTGTGTAGGAGGCAGCTAATTGATGATTCTCTCTCATCAATGTTTCTAACTCTCTCTTCTTCTCTTCCTCTCTGTAAAAAATCAATAAAATATATATTTTTAAAAAAGAAAGAATAAAAAGAAATAATAAAAGTATTATATTGAGTCCTGGCTGTTGGTTGGAGCATTGTCTTGTGTACTGGAGGGTCCCAGGTTCAATTCCTGTCAGGGCTTATGGGTTCAATCCCGTCAGGCTGTATACATAGCAAAAGTACCTTGTCTAGAATTATACCTAGTATAATTATCATGCTATCTGCCCTAGCTCTTGAGAAAGCCTGACCTCTTCTTTAGCTTTCTTAACACATAGAAGTCTCTGAGGCTAAATATATATATATATCTTCAAATTTTTCATTGATTTTTGGGGAAGAGAAAAACAAACATGTATCATCTATCAGTTGCCAATTGCATGCACCCCAACTGGGACTGGGGGTGTGTCTTGACCAGAATCAAACCAACGACCTTTCAGTATACAGGATGTCGCTCCTATCAACTGAGCCACATCAGCCAGGGCAGTACTAACCAGGTCCAACCCTGCTTAGCTTCTGAGATCAAGTGCATTCAGGGTGACTAATCCATAGACTAATCCATATATGTCTATGTATATCATGAAATAGATATTTCTAATAGCAAAACTATGATAGTCCTTAATATCTTCCCACCTTCGTCCTCTGGCCTTTCCCACTTTTACTCCTGCTTTGTTATGCTCATCCCAAAGTTTATTTCTCTGTGACTCCCTGTTGTCTTTTTTAAAAAACCTGTGAAATTCCTAAGACAAACACATGACATTCCCATTTCTTTCTGTTATGAAGAGTCTAAGCCAGTGGTTGCAAACTCAGTCAGTGGAGCGGCAAGCCACAGCTCGTGAGCTACAGTTTGCTGACCACTAGGCCATCAGAATAATTCATAAAGAGGCATTATGTACCTTCTGTTAGAAGGGTGTAGATAAGCCCTGCTATATGTCCCTGATCAAGGTCATAATGGTCTTCGTAATTGTACCGGTTATTGTGTAATATCAGTAACTGTCCTATAGTTCATGTTATCTTATTTTAAATTTATATTTTTAAAAGTATTACAGATGTCCTCTTCTTCCCCATTGACTCCCTCCACCCCACTATTGTCTGTGTCCATGGGTTATGCATATAAATTCTTTGATCTCTCTCCACCCTGCCTTCCTCTAGATTGGTTAGTCCAGTGGTTGGCAAACTCATTAGTCAACAGAGCCAAATATCAACAGTACAACAATTGAAATTTCTTTTGAGAGCCATATTTTTTAAAATTAAACTTCTTCTAATGCCACTTCTTCAAAATAGACTCGCCGTGGTATTTTGTGTAAGAGCCACAGTCAAGAAGACGCAGTTTGCCAACCACAGGGTTAACCTATCCATTGCATCTTTATTAGCCTTTTGCAAATCATTTGAATGACTTTTAGAAGTTTGGCAATTAAAAAGATAACTGGCCCATTCATATTTTTAAAAATGAGTATTTTTGTAAGGTAAATATGGCTCCTTTTAAAAAGATCTTGACACCAATCCCTGGTGAACATAGATGCTAAAACCCTCAACGAAGTATTAGGGAATCAGATCCAGCAATACATTTAAAAGATCATACACCATGAGCAAGTGGGATTTATTCCAGGGATGCAAGACTGGTGTAGTATTTGCAAATCAATCAATGTGATACATTACATAAACAAAATAAAGGATAAAAAAAAAATCACATGATCATATCAATAAGAGTTTTTTTGATAAAAACTCTTAGCAAAGTGGGAATAGAGAAGGATCATACCTCAACATAAGGAAGATCATCTATGACAAACCTATGATCAATATCACACTCATTGGGCAAAAACTAAATGTTTCCCTTAAGAACACTTAATGGGAAAAGGACAAGGATGTCTGCTTGCACCACTCTTACTCAACATAGTACCAGAAGTCCTAGCCACAGTAATCAAACAGGAAGAGAGGGGGAGGAAGTAAAATTATTTGCAGATGACATGATATTGTACATAGAAAACCCTAAAGACTCCACCAAAATTATATTCAATTTAATAAATGTAGCAGTTATAAAATCAACATCCAAAAATTGATGGCATTTTAATACACCAATAATGAACTCTTCAGAAAGGGAAAATAAAAAAACAAACTGTTTACCAACAAAAAAATTTAAGATATTTAGAAATAAACTTAACCAAGGAGATTAAAAAAAACCTATAGTCAGAAAATAGACTCCAAATAGCCAAAACAGTCTTGGAAAAAAGAACAGAGTTGGAGGATCACAATACCAGATATCAAACTACACTACAAAGCCACTGTAATAAAATAAAAAAAATTAAAAAAAAAAGGATAGACATCAAAATCTCAGACTTTTCACAGATACGTCTTTACAGCAAGAAAAACAAAGGAAAAAAAAATTTTTTTAAATGGAACTACATCACCCTTCCACCCAGTCCCTACCCCTTCCGCCTGTGGTGAAGGCCAGGCGGAAGGGGTAGGGACTGGGTGGAAGAGGGTAAAGGGGTGTGGGATGGGGGACATATATAATACTTTCAACAATAAAAATAAGACTTTGGGAGGATCCAAGATGGCTGCACAGGTAAACACCTAACCGCAGCCACACAACAATTTCAATAAAATACAACTAAAATATAAAATGGACATTACCCAGAACTACAGGAAAGTCGACTAACTGGAAATTCTACAATGAGAAGCAAGGAGAAAACCAGAAGGAAGAGCGGAGGAGCTGTAAAAGCCTAAGAGTCCTAAAAACAGAATGGAAGATCGCAAGAATCAAGTCAAAGATTTGGAACATAAAGAGCCAGAAGACACTCCTCCACAGAAGCTAGAAGGCAAGAGAATCCAGAAAGTTGAAGATAATGTAAGAAACCTCTGGGACAACTTCAAGCGAACCAACATCAGAATTATGGGGGTCCCAGAAGATGAGAGAGAGCAAGATATCGAAAACATACTGAAAGAAATAGTGACAGAAAACTTCCCCCACCTGGTGAAAGAATTAGACTTACAAGTCCAGGAAGCGCACAGAACTCCAAACAAAAGGAATCCAAAGAGGACCACACCAAGACACATCATAATTAAAATTCCAAGAGCAAAAGACAGAATATTAAAAGCAGCAAGAGCAAAGCAGGTAGTTACCTATAAAGGAGCAACTATACGATTGTCAGCTGATTTCTCAACGGAAGCCATGCAGGCCAGACAGGAATGGCAAGAAATATTCAAGGTGATGAATAGTAAGAATCTACAGCCAAAGATAATCTATCCAGCAAAGTTATTACTCAGAATCGAAAGTCAGATAAAGAGTTTCACTAATAAAAAAAAAGCTAAACGAGTTCATCAACACCAAACCAGAATTATATGAATTGCTGAAGGGGGTTCTTTTGGAAGAGAAAGTAAATAAAGATAAAAACTATGAACAACAAATACGTAACTATCAACAAGTGAATCTAAAAACCAAAAATATTTTTTTTAAATTTGATGAACAGTATTAACTGTTGAATATAATAGAATCAGAGGTATGGAAGGGGAGTGACTGACGATTCTCGGGGAAAAGGGAAAATGAGGATTGGGAAGAGACTGAACATAAACTGTGCACCTATGGATGACAATAATGGGTGGGGAAAGGGCAGAGAGTGGGGTGGGAACCTGGTGGAGAGGAGCAACAGAGGGGGAGGGGGAGAAACATCTGTAATAATAATGAACAATAAAGATTTTAAAAATAAAAATTAAAAAAATTTAAGATCTTGATGTTAGCATCTAAATTTTGTCTTCTGTTTATCTACAGCATCAGTGAGAATAGAAACTAAATGACTTTAGTCGATGCAGAATCCATTTATTGACATTAATAGTAACAAGAATGAGTATAGTGTGAATTTAGTGTGCCAAAAAGAAGTCCCGTTTATCGCCTCTGGCTCTTTATAGGTCCCACAGTCCCCCGTTTGGTACCAGGGGAAAATCACATTATTTTTTGCTTGTTTCATAACCTTTTGTCCCTACAGAGCACACCTTTGCCAAGTACCTCTACTGACCTCTAAATTTAAGCATCTTAAGCATATTTACTCTGCATATACTTCTTAACCTTGTTCTTAGTTTTTCATCCTTTTAAACTCTGCCTTCAACATAATCACTCTTGATTTTTTTTCTATATCTTAATCATTTTCGGAGTGTTATCTGAAACTTTTTTTTATTTGTTAATGACTTAAAAAGATAAGACCTAAGGGATCAGAAAGACTTTTGATAAAATACTAGTATGCTAACCATGGTATTATGAAAATAGCTATATTTGTTTTCAGAGAAAAAATTACTTCTAATGATTTTCAAAGCAAAAAAACAGGCAAAATTGTTCAATTTAAATTGAAGTTTGATCACATTAAAAAGTTATATATGTGTTATCATTTTCTTATTAATGGTTTATTTCATCGCAAGCTATAGGGTACATCTAGTGTCAGCAATAAGAAAGGGAAAGAATTACCAATTGTTATCTAAGAATGTTTTATCTGTTGGGGGGGAAAAATGCATGAATTTCAAATATAATGAGTGAAAGAAAGAAGCCAGATAAAGAGAACATAATCTGTGATATCACTTATATAAAGGTCAAAACAGCAAACTCAACTATAGTAATAAAAGGGTAAAAGGTGGAGTCCATGCCTAAAAGGGCAGGAAGAGATTCAGATGGTTTTGGTAAAATTATTTTATCTGATTGCCAGTTACATAGATATATTCACTTTGTACTATCCTATCTAATAATGGGGGATATGCAAATTAACCATCATTCCATCACAAAATATGGCAGTGCCCATAGCTACAAGATGGCGGCACCCAGTCCTCAGTCCCACTGGAGTTCCCCCAAGCCCAGGGATCTGCCGCTGAGAGCAGGCAGTGTGAGCAGCCTGGCGGAATGCTTGCTTCGTCACCATAGTGACAAGGCAAGCTTTCTGCGCCCATTAGCAGATTGGCCTCTGAGCAGCAGGCACGGAGTGGCCAGGCCCCTCGGAGAGCTACTGGGGCACAGATTCGTGCACAGGGCTACTACCGTGTTTCCCCGAAAATAAGACATCCTCCAAAAATAAGACCTAGCATGTGGAAAGATAAGACATCCCCTGAAAATAAGACCTAGCGCAACTTTGGAAGAAAAAATTAATATAAGACACTGTCTTATTTTCGGAGAAACAGGGTAGTATACTTATAATTAGTTTTTTTGTTTGTTTGTTTGTTTTAATATATTTTATTGATATTTACAGAGAGGAAGGGAGATAGATAGAGAGACAGAAATGTCAATGAGAGAGAAACATCGACCAGCCGCCTCCTGCACACCCCCCACTGGGGATGTGCCCGCAAGCAATGTACATGCCCTTGACCGGAATCGAACCCGGGACCTTTCAGTCCGCAGACCGACACTCTACCACTGAGCCAAACCGGCTTCGGCTAATTAGTTTTTTTTGGTTTTTTGTTGTTGTTTTTTTAAAGAAGCTTTTCTCAAAGACAGGATATGTAAAACCAGTCTGAGAAAGGAAAAAGATAGTAATTATATTCCACTTTTAATTATATTCCACTTTTAGCTTTTAAAAGTGTGCTGATGCTCAATGTTAACCTATGAAACAAAAACCTCAATGAAGTATCCCTTCATCTAAAGAAAGTCTTTATCTCAATAGGGAAAAAAAAAATAGTATGGTTAAAAATAGCATACCCTCTGGCCAAACTAAACTGATAGTGAGAGGATTATTTTAGCAGAAGATAAATTCTAGAAATAAGTGTGCAGAATTTGTAATTATAAATGCAGCTTTCCATATCCAATATATTAGAAGTCCTAACTATAGCAATTAGGCAAAAATATAAATAAAAGGCATCAAAATCAAAAAGGAAGAAATAATTTACAGATGATATTATACAGTTAACCCTTTAATGACACAGGTTCAAACTGCACCAGTCCACTTATACAGATTTTTCAGCTGACCCACACAGTTCAAATTGAATGAGGGTCAACGGATCGCTGGAAGTGCATACTCAGGGGCCAAATTAAGTTACATGTGGATTTTGACTGCTGGGAGTTGTCACCCCTAAACCCTTGTTCTCAGGGGTCAACTGTAAACTGAAAACCCTAAAAGCATCACCAAAACTGTTAGAACTAGTCAACAAATTCAGTAAAGTTGCAGGATAAGCTCAATATATAAAAATCTGTTGCATTTCTATACACAAACTATCAGAGAAATTCAGATAAGCCCATTTGCATACAAAAGAGTAAAATACCTAGAAATTAATTTAGCCAACATTGAAAACTTGTAAGATGTTAATGGGAGAAATTAAAGAAACACAAATATATGGAAAGAAATTCCATGCTCATGGGTTGGAAGAACTGATTGTTGCCGAAACTGGTTTGGCTCAGTGGATAGAGCGTCGGCCTGCCGACTGAAAGGTCCTGGGTTCGATTCCAGTCAGAGGCATGTACCTTGGTTGCGGGCGCATCCCCAGTAGGGGGTGTGCAAGAGGCAGCTGATAAATGATTCTCTCTCATCAATGTTTCTAACTCTCTATCCCTCTCTCTTCCTCTTTGTAAAATATCAATAAAATATATTTTTTTTAAAAGAACTGATTGTTAAAATGTCTGTACTACCTAAAGCAATCTATAGATTCATGTAATCCTTACCAAAATTCCACTTGTATTTTTCACTGGACTAGAACAAACAATTATAAAATTTGTGTGGAACCACAAAAGGGCCAGAATAGGCAAAGCAGTCTTGAGAATAAACAACAAAGCCGGAGGCATCAAGCTCCTTAATTGCTGTCATGTAACTGTAGTAACCAAAACAGTATGGTACTGGCATAAAAATAGACACATCGATCAGTGGAACAGGATTGAGAGCCCAGAGATAAACCTACACATATATAGTCAATTATTTTATGAACAGGAGTCAGAAATATGCAGTGGAGTAAAGACAGTCTCTTCAATAAACGATGTCAGGAAAACTGAGCCCTTACACCATAGACAAATTTACTCAAAATGGATGGAAGATGTGAAGGTGTAAAGATCCGAAACATAAAATTCCTAAAAGAAAATATAGCTGATAAGCTTTTGGCCTCTGTCTTGGTGTGGAATTTTTGGATTTGACACCAAAAGCAAAGGCAACAAAAACAAGTGCACACTAACGCTTCTGCACAGCAGAGGGAACCATCAACAAGATACAAAGGGAGGGACTTGAATAGATCTTTATACCAGTGTTCAAAGCAGCATTCACAACAGCAAAAAGGTGGAAACAATCCAATATCCATCAGCAGGTGAATGGGTAAACAGAATGTGGTATATACATGCAGTTGAATATTACTCAGTTTAAAAAAAGACAAAATTCTGATGCATGCTGCAAGTATGGATAACTCTTAAACATTGTGCTAAGTGAAATAAGCCAAATACAAAAGGACAAATATTGTGTGATTCCACTTATATTCTAGGCACTCATATAGATATTTAGGATAGCCAAATCATAAATCAGACAGACAGTGGTTTTCAGAGGTCAGGGGAGGAAGAAATCAGTAGTTACTGTTTAGTGTTACAGTAGAAATTTCAGTTTGAAATGATGGAAAAGCTGTCTTAAATGTGTCCATTCTTCTTTGGAATTTAGAAGGGGAAAGATTTTAACTGCTGACTTTTTTTTTTTTTTTAAGGCCTTTATACGACGCTGTTTGGCATACCGAAAAGAAGATCGATTTGATGTGCACCAACTGGCAAATGACCCGTACCTCCTCCCACACATGAGAAGATCAAACTCTTCAGGAAACTTGCACATGGCTGGGCTGACAGCATCCCCTACACCCCCCGCTTCAAGCATAATTACGTTCTGACTTTCCTCCAAAATCGGCATGATATCTTTGAATTGCTTCCAGGTGCACACTTGAGTTCAAGAGCATTTGGGTGTTTTTTTGTTCCTTTATTTTTTACACAGGACGTGATTGAGAACTGTTCGCGAGCTGAAATTCTTTGTGGCGTCATTTGTATGGGAAAGGATCATGGATGGTGAATAAATGTACACTTCTGACTATAAATAATCTTGAGACGTGAAGGGTGACTGCCTGTTACACAGAAACGAGAATACCATGTTCAGACGAAGAAAAATGATTTGTTTGTTTGGGGAAACACTGTAAATAACGTTTATAATACTTAAACACATTTGGTTGTTACTAAAGAGGTCTAATATGAAGGGTAGTTTTTCATTATTTAAAAACATTTGGAAAAAATGAGAAATATTTCTAACACAAGAACTACAGTGCCTGGATACATTCTTCAGCATTCGGCAGATAATCTGCCGAAACCAAAGTAAGAACTGAATGACAGTGACAGTTGTGTTTTATAGAGAGAATGTGAGAGTTAGAATCTTTGGACAAGGTTAGACTTTGTCATTTGCCTGTTCTGACTTTTACCACATTGTACCTCGAAATCACATGTCCTTTTTTTTTTTCACTGATTATGTTAAAGGGAGAGCTATTACTCCTGGATACTTTACACCTTTGACAAAATGCGCTGCTCATTTTTAAATCAGTTGAATTCACTAAATTGTAATATCGCCAGTGTTTTCAATATGTTAGAAGTAACATTTTCGTTTTGATGCCAGGCCTTGTTCATTAAAACAAATGACAGTATGTAACCAAATGCAGACCAGTTCTATGCAGGATAATGATAAATTCCCTTCTAGTTCTATTGTAAATTGTTGTACATATGTCATATTTCAATTACCAAGTTTCAGCAGCTTATTCTTGTACAAATGTTTAAAAATAATGGCTTTTCTAATTGGATATTGTATTTTTTTTAAGTCTTGAAGGCGCGTTAATTGCTGCTAAATGATGTTGCTTCTTTGCTAAAAAAAAAATATATATATATCGAATGACCTCCTTAAAAAGGTGCAAATTGACTGTACATCATAGAGGCATATTAAAAGCAGGCATTCATTAACAATCAAGGCATGTAAAAATGATCCACGTTGGACATATAGAATTCTCTAAATCAGTTCCTTGGGTTCTAGGGCTGTGGAGCACATAGATACTAGATTTATACATTGTTCATGGTTATTCTACATTTCTAGAAGGTTCTTATCAGCAAGGTGGGATGATGGTCCCATAAACAAGTTTCTTGTGGTTTGTACAGATTTGTTAAAATGTGAACATTTTCTAACTGCCTTGTATGGTATAAACCATTATTTTTCAGGATGTTGTATTTTACTCCTGTAAAAATTATTCCTTTATTGTTATATTCATAATGCTGATACTTACATGTAAGTTGTCCTTGTGGCCGAAAAAGGAGGCTCTACTTACTTTACCACAGATTCTCCTTAATATTGTACAGTTAAACTGTGGCTGTTATTTCTGATGTTGCAAGCCATTTTGTTTTTCCATTGTACATACACACACTGTCTCTTTAAAATGCTGCTGAAATTGTAGAGAATGTAGCCAAACTGGTAATAAACAATGACAGTTAAATTTAAAGACTATTAAAATTGCATTTTTAAGGGAGCTTTCAAGACTTAGAATATTGGCTCTGACTTGGCTCCTTAAGAATCAGCTCAATAAATTCTTTAAGTATACTTCAAGACAAGTATAGAGTGTTCATGCTGTTAAAGTGAACCTAATAACCATTATCAAGGTGAATTCTGGGTGAGTAACAGCACTATCAGGAGTGGCTAAGGGCTGTGCCTGCTCCTCTGTAGATTAAGATAGAAATCCTATAAGAAATATTGACACGGTAATGAAATGTTAACATTAAGTGCCTTTAATTTTGATATTTTCATCATTCTGAATCACAAAGTACTACGTTCATAGAGTAACTTACTTGAAGTTCTGAATTGAAGGAAAATGCCCAGTTTTGTGTAAAATTTATTGACTATAAATCTAACGAGGTTGATTTGAATAAGTAGTATAGTTCAAGATCACTGCTTATCATTTCCAAATGAAAGTGCCTACTAGTCTCAAAATGCAGAAAAGGAAGAAAATGAGTAACTTATAAACCGTCTCTTCCTCCTAAAGCTTTCCCAAACAAATGCTATAGATTTCAGATTATACGCCAGAAACCCAGTAAATATGAATACCGTTATCTTCACAAAGGAACTTGGTATCTATCACCAAGTGATTTCAGTTACTCTGGCAATCTTCAGCTCTAATATCTTCTGAAGCTTAAACTGTTCTGGTTTCCTGAATTCACTTCTCAGAACTAAAGTGTCACTTACATTCCTGAGACAACAGCAAGGTCCTCTCCTTTGACTACCTTATTGGCCTGTTTCCTGTAAGAGTCAGCACTGTTACAAGGTAAAATGCAGTTTTTGGAGATAATTTTAGAATCTCTCTGATGTGAAGTAGTTTTAGTGTGTACACCTTGAGAGGAAATAAGTGTAGAAACAACCCTAATAATTCATTAAGTCAAAAATTGGGTAGATATTGGATTGTCTTTAAAAAAAAACAAAAACAAAACTATTTTTTGTCCAACCCCTTCTAAAAGAACAAAAGAACAAAAGAACTTTGTTTAAATGGTACATAAAATGTAAACAAATACCTTTACAAATACCTCATTACATGAAGCTAAAGTGGTGGAGAGTTTCAGTGAAAAATTTAAAGAAGATATTGTGCGTTTTGCTATTCATTTTTACTTACTAAATATAATGTCATCAGATGTTTCTACCTATTTAATTATAATGCAGACTGTCCAGTCCTTTAGGTTGTTACTTTTAGAATTGAATTACATTGCTGTTAGTGTGTGACAAAGCTTTATACCTTTAAAGTCATATTTGTAGGTCTTTCTCTAATCCCACCTAAATTTTGACATGTTACCTGATAGAATTTCCTCATAAATATACTAAAATTTAATGTTCTGGAGGCATTCAAAAAGTGTTTTATCAGCTAGTTTATATTAAATTATTCGGATTCTCGTTCCTGGCAACTCTACAACAGTTCTAGGATTTATATAATTTGTCAATCTCAATGTTCTTTCCTAGAACATACACATCTCTACTTGCCTTTCCTTAATTTCCTTCTCTCCCATCCCCCTTTTTGGAGCATTCTCCCCCACACACACATACACACACACAGAATTCTTTAGTGTTTGGGAAAGATTTGAGTAAATATATGTGAACCAACTTCAAGAATTTACATAGAAGCAGGGAAGAACTTAATAGAATTATTTTTAGTTAGAAATCCTCACTCATTTAAAATACTAGGGATGTAGATTACCTATGATTGTTTTAAGAAAGGCAACTTTCAAAAAAACGAGAAGAAAACAATAAAATAGAAAACGACAAAGATAAGTACATATCTTTTAAAAATTAAATGGGCAATTCTCCAAAAGACAATTTAAAAAAAAAAAACAACATTTATGCGGCCTACAAGAGACTGACTTCAGATGTAAGGCCATACAGACTAAAAGTGAAAAGATGGAAAAAGATAATCTATTCAAATGGCAAGAGAGTTGCTGGTATAGCTATACTCATATCAGACAGACTTTAAAGCAAAGATTATAAGAGACAAAGAAAGACATTACATTGTAATAAGGGAGTCAACCCAACAAAAGAAATAACATTTGTAAATATGCCCCCATCATAGGCGCATCTAAATATATAAAGCAAATATTAAAAGGAAGAAATAGCAATATAATATAATAGGGGTCTTTACATTCTCTTCAATAGGTCATCCAGACAGGAAATCAGGAAATCGGCTTTTTATTACATTAAACCAGATGGGTTTATAAGAGATGTACAAAACACTATAAGCAACAGAACACATCCTCAAGTGCACATGGAATTCTCCATAGGTCGTATATTAGGCCACAAAACAAGTCAAGAAATTCAAGAAAATTGAAATAAAAACAAGCATCTTTTCTGACCATAATGCATGAAATAAAATCAATTACAAGAATGAAAATTCACAAATATGTACTGATTAAACGACATGCTACAGAACAGCTAGTGGGTCAAAGGAGAAATGAAAAAAAGTTGAAAATACCTGGAGATAAATGATAACAGAAACAACATTCCAAAACTAATGGGATGTAGCAAAAGCAGTTCTGAGAGGGATGTTCAGAAATAGCAATAAATGATTATATTAAAAAAATAAAACTATCAAAAACTTTACACCCCAAGAAACAAAAACAAATGAAGCCCAGGAAGGAAATAAAGATCACAGCAGAAATAAAATAGAGATTAAAAAGACAATAGAAAAGGTAAAAGTAAGAGCTGGTTCTTTGAAAAGATAAACAATTGACTAATCTTTGGTTAGACTCACCCAGAAAATGAGAGAGAGACCAAATAAAAGTAAGAAAGGAGATGTAACTGATATCACAGTAATACAAAGGATCGCAAGAGACTATTCTGAACAAATTTGACAACCTACAAGGAATGGTAAAATTCCTAGAAGCATACAACCTACAAAGACTGAAGCACAAAGAAATAGAAAAGTCTGAACAAATAAGTTACTAGTAGGGAGACAGAATCAGTAAACAAACACCTTCCAATAAGCAAAAGTCTAAAACAAGACTGGTGAATTCTACAGCATTTAAAGAGGAATTAATACCAATTCTCAAACCCTTAAAAAAAAAAAAAAAAAAATAGAGCCGAAACTGGTTTGGCTCAATGGATAGAGCGTCAGCTTGGGGACTGAAGGGTCCCGGGTTCGATTCCGGTCAAGAGCATGTACCTTGGTTGCGGGCACAAACTCAGTAGGGGGTGTGCAAGAGGCAGCTGATTGATGACTCTCATCGATGTTTCTAACTCTGTATCTCCCTTCCTCTCTGTAAAAAAATCAATAAAATATATATTTTTTTTAAATAGGGAACACTTCCAAATTCATTTTACAAGGTCAGCATCACC